TTGCAAATGTCATGTTCTTAGTTGTATGTCAGGGACTACGGATGGAAATGAGCTCAAAGCTAAAATCCAGCATATTCACACTTGAAGCATTATTTGTCTAAAGTGTTCATTGATGTGCATTGTCCCTATTCAAATAAACGATTAAATGAAAATGAAGAAAAATACAGATTTAATTTAACAGCAGATTTTAGAACAACAATGCCATTTTAACCATGTTCAGGGAGGATAGTTGTCCAGTTTTTAAGAATTGTCCTTGTTATTATAAATAAATTGTACAAAATGTGCGTAGAGTGTGTTTATAAATCTGAGGTCCAGAGATGTTTTGGTAGTGTTGGGGCCCCTGGGGGTTTCTGATGCCTGAGGCTGTCTGTGCTTGCATGCATACCCATAGCCACCCCAATGCAAGCAGACACATTTAAAACCACCCATGCACAGTTACAAATATGTTTACCCAACATTCCTGAAATGTAATTAAATGAGGTAATACCCCTGATATAAACAGAGAAGCTTATAAATACCACACTGGTGACCTCAATCAGGAGTGGATCAAAAACATTTGTCAGCCGAGCGTTTTCAGCTCCACGCACATCTGTTTACATATTGTATGATGTTTGGATTATATTGCAGACAAATCCCCATGTAAAAGAGTAGTAAACCGTTCTCGTAAACGGTTGTTTACTGTTGAATTAGTATTATATAATCCTTTTGCTGCTCAGTTTCCATTGTGAGAAATTATGAAGCTGTTATTATGCTCCAGTGGCATTTAGATTTAATTTCCTCCCTTTGCTCCAGTCCTTGAGAATAGCGTCCTTATGGTCCGAACATACCTTTACAAGCTTCCTGGTATTTGGACCGACTCCTGATGGAGAAGTAATACCATCCTTTTCCATGTCCACATCGTTTCTTACACAGGAGGGATTTGTTTCATTTATGTAACAATGAAAGCAGCTGGCAGAGTGCCCACATGTTGCTAAATGGAACCGCGACGCCAAGAAGCAAGGTGCTTTTTAAACAGAGACGGAGAGACACCAGAGAGCGCTTGTGGGGAAGAATGAAAGAATTGGATGGCAGAAGAGAAAGCAATCAATGCCGCTTTGTGTTGTGCACAACTTTTCCCCAATAGCTCTTCCGCTCTAGAGGCATTTGTAAAGTACATGAATCAAGTTTAACTATAGAAAGGCATGAGACAGAAAGCAGCAGTGCTTCAGTGAAAGACAATCGATCAAGCAAAGACATAAGTGCTTTGCTCAGAGCCAAACCTTGCAGCTGTTTGAAACAGTAAACGCCAAGGCCTCTATGCAAAAATAAACACCACACCCACACATGTAAATGCTGTCTCTCTCTGTGTTTCAGCAGCATCTGCACTCATTTAAATGTCCAGGTGCTTTCGGACCATCAGGATCATTATACTCTGCAGATGGGTATAAATGTGATCGCATGCGGAGTGTGGGAAAGCGTTGGCCTCGGCAGAAATGCACCTGTTGTTGGACCAAGTCAGAGTTACACCCCTTGTCTGGTGTCCAGAACGGAAATGATATCTGCATTGAGAAGGTTTGTTTTAGGGAGAAACACACCTGCCTCAGCCCATTCTGCCAACATGTGTTTCCGTACAATCATCCTATTGGCCTAAAGCGTTTCAAGCTTCACTGTTGGATATGTACACTGACTGCAAATGCATGAGAAGAGATCACACCATAAGAGCAGAAACAGCAAGGCTTAGCAACTCAAATGTTTTTGCCTCCCTTGACATAAATCAGCGCAAAACTAGCTGTTTGCGTAAACATGTACTTTTCACTGACATAATGGTATATCTTCTTCCACACAGTGTAAACAAAGGTGGCTGGCTTTCAAAAGAATGCAAGAATGCAAAGTGGTGAGAAAGTATTCTAAACATTTGAAATTTCAAAACAAGTTTATTTTAAAGGGGCCCCATTACTCTTCTGGGGGTTTACCCTTTCCTGTAGTGTGTTATATCGGTTTTGGTGAATGTAAATGGTTTGCAAAGGCTAACATCCCTGAGTTAGGGAGTTACTTCCCTGCACAATTTACATTAAAACATTTTCAGTGAGTGAAACTGCATCCTTGGAATACATTTGAGACTTGTCGTTTAGCTTGTATATGCAGTAAAGGTATTCAAGGTGGTTAAAAAGGTTATTTTCTGGGTAATACGTGTTTGGAATTAAGTGAGAATGAACCGGCTTTTGCTTACTAAAACCCCAAATAGACCCTGATGCAGCTCATTGTAGCCCAGCTTGGATTTTTGCTAACTTTATGTTTATCCCACAAGCACTGCGAGGCAATATATTTTCTTCCACCCAGTAAATAAATAAGTGGTGATGCAATCAATCTTTTGGGGGTTTGAAATCATAATATTGAGCACAACTGTCAGCCACGCCATTAGCATGATTCATTTCTGCCGTTTTAAATTTACAATTTCCCTACAAGAACAACATTGATTCCCAGTGTGTGTGTGTGTGTGTGTGTGTGTGTGTGTGTGTGTGTGTGTGTGTGTGTGTGTGTGTGTGTGTGTGTGTGTGTGTGTGTGTGTGTGTCAATTTCCTTCCTATTTTTTTCCATAATTTGAATCAGAGAAAATGTATTAATTTTGCAGGGCTGAGAGGAGCCTAGGCAGAGCCAGTAAATAAATCTCTCCTATTATTACCTACAATGCCCTGTCAGGTCCATACATCATCTCAGCACATCATAATTAATTGCACACTAAACTATTCTGTTCAATTAACCATGAGGGAATGGATGGAGAGAGGGAGGGGGAGGGAGAGGGAAAGAGGGAGAGAGACAGAGAGGATGGCAAAGGTTGCACTAGTGGTAATTATCAAGCATATGGTTTCTTTTTCTTAGTGTATGTTTCCTTGTTTATCCAAGACCCGCTCTAGCTGCTGTGCTTCCTTACTGACCGTTCCGGTTGTATTAACATATTTTCAAGAAAGTGGTTGTTTTGTATATAGACTTGTTCAAATTCTTCTTGCCCTTCAGTGCTGTTCTAATGGGAAATGTGCTTATGCAAGGCAATCTCACCCTGGAGGCTTCACATTTTCCAGCAAGGCTCTGTCGGGTCAACAGTCTCATAAAAAAGTGGAATAACATTATGAGGACGGTAATATTGAAGTGAGTTTGTGGCGAACGCATTTCAAATGTTGCTTCAGGAGCATCTGAAGCCAAACATACTGAAATTCAACTCTTAAAAATCTCACAAACACTCTCAGTACGAGCTGCAGTGAAAGGCTAGGAAGTGTTTGGCATAGCTGGGGAATATGCGTTGTTTTGTCAGGCTTTCTGTAAGCAAACAATACCTTAAATGCAACAAAAACACAAACACGGTAAGACAAACAAACAGCATTTCCTGTCCCCTCAGAAACAGACATACTTTAGGTTGTCAGGAGGCGTGCTTTGGAAAACAATGTGTTATAAACACTGCAAGTATGGAAAAGGGAAGAGCAAATTAAAGGATACATTACATGTCATTTGTTACGGTACGGTTATATGGTAGAGTAATAATTGGTTGTAACATTATAGGCTACAACAGAGCTGGGTTTCCAACCTGCCCATCAGTGTACTTTGAAAAAGGGATTCAACAGCGTATCCCAAACTCACTATCCCCGTCCCTAGACATTGATTTTCATGTCATATAGTAACAGCTGGCAGTTCAGATGATGAAGTGGTGATCAGGAGACTACAATAAGAGTGACACTCATTTAAAGAGCTCTAGGGATTGTATTGTAAGCATGTCCATCTGACCAGATAACCATGTTCTACAGTAACTATTACTAAGACAGAGCATATTCATTATCTAACTACAGGTTAAGCAAAATAAACCCCAATCATTTGCTTACAGTAATTCGTCTGGCAGTGGCTCAGTCAGTAGGGGCTTGGACTGTGAGCCGTAGGGTTGCCGGTTCAAGTCCCCGAACAGACCTAAAGATGGAGTGTGGACTGCTACTTGGAGAGGTCCCAGTTCACCTCCTGCCCTGCCGTGGTGCCCTTGAGCAAGGCACCGGACATCTCCCTTCCCCCATTGCTCCCCGGGCGCTGTAGAATAGCTGCCCACTGCTCCTAGTACTAGACTCCTGGTACTAGGATGAGTTAAAAGCAGAGAACACATTTCACTGTGTGTGCTGTGTGCTCTGCATGTGAGACCATTAAAGACGGTTTCATCCCTCCATATTATAATTCTAATTAAGTGCAGAAAACTGCAGTTCCCCGAATGGCCACTTGAGGTTGNAGACAGACAGACAGACAGACAGACAGAGATACAGACAGACAGACAGAGAGCCAGAGAGAGAGTCAGACAGACAGACAGACAGAGAGACAGACAGACAGACAGAGAGACAGACAGACAGACAGACAGACAGACAGACAGACAGAGAGACAGACAGACAGACAGACAGACAGACAGACAGACAGACAGAGAGACAGAGAGAGAGTCAGACAGACAGACAGACAGAGATACAGACAGACAGACAGACAGACAGACAGACAGACAGACAGAGAGACAGACAGACAGACAGACAGACAGACAGAGAGACAGACAGACAGACAGAGAGACAGACAGACAGACAGACAGACAGACAGACAGACAGAGAGACAGACAGACAGACAGACAGACAGACAGACAGACAGACAGACAGACAGACAGACAGACAGACAGACAGACAGACAGAGATACAGACAGACAGACAGACAGACAGACAGACAGACAGAGAGACAGACAGAGAGACAGACAGACAGACAGACAGACAGACAGACAGACAGACAGACAGACAGACAGACAGACAGACAGACAGACAGACAGACAGACAGACAGACAGACAGACAGACAGACAGACAGACAGACAGACAGACAGACAGACAGACAGACAGAGAGACAGACAGACAGACAGACAGACAGACAGACAGACAGACAGACAGAGAGACAGACAGACAGACAGACAGACAGACAGACAGACAGAGAGACAGAAAGACAGACAGACAGACAGACAGACAGAGAGACAGACAGACAGACAGACAGGTACCTGGTAGTTCCCGGTCTTGTTGGAGCAGGCGAACAGACGGGGGGGGTGAGCGTCCATCTTGTTCTTCAGGCGGGGGGTGCGACAGTATTCCTCCTGACCCCCCAAAGCTTCCCAGAATGCATCTGTAACACAGACCCTGTTCAGAGGACTTCTTCATGGAGCAAACAGAAACCCCCATCCTGGTAGACCCCAGACACAACAACACAACAGCACAACAACACAACAACACAACAGCACAACAACACAACAGCACAACAACACAACAGCACAGACTGACACCACTTGTTGTTAAATACCAACGATGCACAATATCTCACCTGTCTCCCCCCCCTCCCTCAGAGGGTCGGGGGTCACCTGCAGGATCACGGCCAGTTGCTCCGCCCCGTTTTCCTCAGCGGAGGTGCTGCTTCCCCCCACCCACACCCAGCATCCAGAGGGGGAGACCAGCAGGAAGACATCACTGGAGTTCAGCTGGGAGGAGGAGGGTTGTACCTGGGGGGAGACACCTGTGAGTGGGGGGTAACTGGGGGGTTTCTCTCATTAACTGGGGGTTTCTCTCATTAACTGGGGGTTTCTCTCATTAACTGAGGGTTTCTCTCATTAACTGGGGGGGTTTCTCTCATTAGCTGGGGGTTTCTCTCATTAACTGGGGGTTTCTCTCATTAACTGGAGGGCTTCTCTCATTAACTGAGGGGTTTATCTCATTAACTGGGGGTTTCTCTCATTAACTGGGGGGTTTCTCTCATTAACTGGGGGTTTCTCTCATTAACTGGGGGTTTCTCTCATTAACTGGGGGTTTCTCTCATTAACTGGGGGTTTCTCTCATTAACTGGGGGTTTCTCTATTACTGGGGGTTTCTCTCATTAACTGAGGGTTTCTCTATTAACTGTTTCTCTCATAACTACAGACAGACAGAATGAAGANTGGGGTCGTGTCCCTCTCTCTGCTGCTTCCTGTAATCCACAATCAGCTCCTTGGTTGTGCTGACGTTGAGATGGAGGTTGTTATCCTGGCACCAAGATGTCAGGTTTTCGACCTCCTCTCTGTACGCCGTCTCGTCGCCGTCTGTGATCTGGCCGATGACGGTCGTGTCATCAGCAAACTTCACGATGGTGTTGGAGCTGTGTATGGCCACGCAGTCGTGAGTGAACAGGGAGTAGAGGAGAGGGCTGAGCACATAGCCTTGAGAGTCCATTCACAAATAGAGTCCTCAACTGATATAAAGCTATAAAATAGATGATGGCTCCCACAGGGTTGTTGACACCCACCTGGATCCATCTTCTTCTTACACATACATTTTCAATCGTTGGGACTACCTACAGTATGTTGTAAATGTATTCTCTTTTTAATTTACACACAACATCTATCTCTCATTAACTGGGGGGTTTCCTTCATTAACTGGAGGGTTTCTCTCATTAACTGGGGGGTTTCTCTCATCAACTGGGGGGTTTCTCTCATTAACTAGGGGGTTTCTCTCATTAACTGAGGGTTTCTCTCATTAACTGGGGGGGTTTCTCTCATTAACTGGGGGGTTTCTCTCATTAACTGGGGAGGGGTTTCTCTCATTAGCTGAGGGGTTTCTTTCATTAACTGGGGGGTTTCTCTCATTAACTGGAGGGTTTCTCTCATTAACGGGAGGGGTTTCTCTCATTGACTGAGGGGTTTCTCTCATTAGCTGGGGGGTTTCTCTCATTAACTGGAGGGTTTCTCTCATTAACTGGGGGTTTCTCTCATTAGCTGAGGGGTTTCTCTCATCAACTGAAGGGTTTCTCTCATTAACTGGGGGTTTCTCTCATTAACTGGGGGTTTCTCTCATTAACTGGGGGGTTTCTCTCATTAGCTGAGGGGTTTCTCTCATTAACTGGGGGGTTTCTCTCATTAGCTGAGGGGTTTCTCTCATTAACTGGGGGGTTTCTCTCATTAACTGAGGGGTTTCTCTCATTAACTGAGGGGTTTCTCTCATTAACTGGGGGGTTTCTCTCATTAGCTGAGGGGTTTCTCTCATTAACTGGGGGGTTTCTCTCATTAACTGGGGGGTTTCTCTCATTAACTGGGGGGTTTATTTGTGAGTGTTTCCTTGTCCGATGTGAGTGTCCAAGGATAGAGGGTGTCATATTCATATTCTTTACAAACTGTAAATCCACTGAGGCAATAATTGTGATATTGGGCTATATAAATAAACGTTGATTGATTGATTGAAATTATTCATCTTGTTATGAGTTTGGCCCTGAGGATCCTTTGAGTTTGACCCTGAGGATCCTTTGAGTTTGGCCCTGAGTTTGGCCCTGAGTTTGGCCCTGAGGATCCTATAGTTTGGCCCTGAGGATCCTATGAGTTTGGCCCTGAGGATCCTTTGAGTTTGGCCCTGAGTTTGGCTCTGAGGATCCTATAAGTTTGGCCCTGAGGATCGTATGAGGTTGGCCCTCAGGATCCTATGAGTTTGGCCCTGAGGATCGTATGAGTTTGGCCCTGAGGATCGTATGAGGTTGGCCCTCAGGATCCTATGAGTTTGGCCCTGAGGATCGTATGAGGTTGGCCCTCAGGATTCTATGAGTTTGGCCCTGAGGATCGTATGAGGTTGGCCCTGAGGATCCTTTGAGTTTGGCCCTGAGGATCCTATGAGTTTGGCCCTGAGGATCCTATGAGTTTGGCCCTGAGGATCCTATGAGGTTGGCCCTGAGGATCCTATGAATTTGGCCCTGAGGATCCTATGAGTTTGCTTATAATATGTTCCTCAAGTGTTTCCTCTGTTGTCTATGTTTTACGCACCTCAGAGGGTAGTTGAACACTTTGTACTCAACTCATCATTGTATTTGTATTGTGAACCTCCTGCTGCCGCCTGTAAAGATGTACAGTGAGCCTGAGGAGTGTTAGGCTGAGGAAAGGCACAGGACCGCTGCAGTGGCAAAGGTTTAGAGCGCTACAAGACTGAGGACTTTAGTGGGATTTAATGTAACTTATTTGTAAAATTTATTGTCTGACAATAACATAAGTACTACTACTATACATTTCTAACATAACACTTTGGGGAACTCAACGATCCTGGATTCTCTACAGGACTCTATGAGCTGGAGACTACACTATAGAGTTGAGATACAGTGATGGATTGACCCACATTGCTGTCCATAAAGCCCTGCTGCTAGCTTGGCCATTGTTTTATGCAGAAACATGAGTAGTTGAACGCACTAGAGTTGAATCGTTGTGAAACCCTTTCTATGTGGCCAGCTTCCATTCCATTGGTTTATTATCACATGCAAAATCTGATGAGTTCCCTCTGAATATCCTCAGACTGCTCCACATGTCCTCAGATTGCTCCACATATCCTCAGACTGCTCCACATGTCCCCAGATTGCTCCACATGTCCACGTATCCTCAGACTGCTCCACATGTCCTCAGATTGCTCCACATGTCCAAGTATCCTCGGACTGCTCCACATGTCCTCAGATTGCTCAACATGTCTACATGTCCTCAGACTGCTCCACATGTCCTCAGACTGCTGCACATGTACTCAGACTGCAGCCGTGCACGCTCAGGTCCACGTTTTGTGAGCTTTTCCTCCTCCTGCTAAAGTGCCGAGTGCTGACCCTGTGTTCCTCCCCCCTGCAGGAGTCACCCTCTTTGTGGCACTTTATGACTACGAGGCGCGGTCAGAAGACGACCTCAGCTTCAGGAAAGGAGAACGCTTCCAGATCATCAACAGCACGTAAGTCTCTGTAGCTGCTCATCTCTCTGCTGCACGGGAGGCTAATCGCTTTCCAGCAGAGGTAAAAGTAGCAGCTTTCCTGGAAATGAAGTCTTTCATTTTCGTAATCGGGAGAATGATAGAGGCCAAACTTTTTAGCAACCTGGAATTACGTCCTACAATTTCAAAGTGGTGCATTGGTTTTTGGCTGATTTCAGTAGTTTCAGATTTATTATGTAAAAAAAAAAAAAAAGTATGCAAAAAAAGAAAAGTAGGACGCCATGTTTGTGGAGAAGGCTATCAGGATACAAAACAGCATTTTTAGGAAATAATATTTAAAGTAAATAGCACTGAAAAGTAAACTGTATACATGAAATGTGAAAATATATATTTTCATTTTCACAAATAATTCAGTACAAAAATGTGATTTTAAATCATATGAAAATATCTGAAAGTAAGTTGATGGTTTTCTCGCAATAAATTGTAACTAATGCCAATATTTATTCTAGGAAATTCTTGCTTGCATTATATCCAGGAAACCTTCATCAGAAATGAGACAGAAAACACAGCTTTCTTTCATTTTCTGTCTTTATTCTATTTTTATTGATTTGGAATATTGAGTCAGGTATTTCTAAACATGAGGTTAGCCATGCAGCCTGAGAGGAGGAATCCAGAGGACTAAAGACATACTCCGCTGGCTGTATTGATGCATGCAGCTCTAATATTAGTCCAAATAATGCAATTAATGCTGCACGAAAAGTGCTGGGGTCGACTCTAGTTCATCTATTGATGTTTTCCAACAAACTGTGCTTTCACACAAATGTACATAGTCTCAGATAAAAAAGGTTCATGCTTAATTCAAATGACCCCCACACCCCCCCTACTGTACATGGCTGCATGATCACCTTTGGCGCAGCCAGGCTGTCTTCCTCCTCACCACACCCGTCTACTTCCTGTCCCAGCCAGCGGCACATTCCTCCACACACCTCCACACACCTCAGCCCCCGCTGGGCCTCAGCCACAACAGGAACACACTGTCATTACAGCAGAGAGACTTCCTCTTCCTCCTCCTCCTCCTCCTCCTCCTCCTCCTCCTCCAGCTCAGAAATAGCTGCATCTTCTCCCCTCCTCTCTCTGGCTGCGTTTCACTTCTCTTATTTTTCATTTCCTCGGTCTCTGTATCACCGGAAGTTGATTTGTCTGGGCCATCTTGAGTAGTGTCCCAGTGGCCTTATTTCTCCCGGAGGACCGAGGATCGAGGATCGAGGAGCGATAACCGAGGAACCACCAGACCATCCTCCGGTGAAATCCTCAGACACTCGCCCCGCCCCCTTACTGTGTATCGCTCACTGATTGGACGATGCAGTGCATGCACTGATCTGATGCTTCTTGACATGAGAGCAGTGTTTTGTTTCAATTAATGTATCATTCAGTTACAAACATGTGATATATCTGAACAACAGAGTGGTCAAAAATCATTTTATTCATTTATTGGAAACATTTTCATGATCGCTTTTTTCGTTTTACATTTTCATTTATTGTCATTTCGGCAGATCGGGTAGTGACAGTCACTAACCGATCTGCACCCCTGCCCGATCTGCACTGCACATGTGCGAGATGGTCCGCCATATTGGACAACTCCATACGGCACATTTGACGTCTAGACGGCTGCCCGATTTGCATCGTGCATGCGCGAGTCATAAACGTTTCAAATATCTACACAAAAATATTTTGTTATTTTATTTTATTTGAAATAAAAATGAAGGGCATTCACAGTTAATGTAATTAGATATAAATTATGAATGCATACATTCACAGTCAATATTTCTTCAGGATGTATGATAGCTGTCTAACAGAAGTTAAATTCATTTCTCACTCATTCTGACAATGTGCTTAACCCAATAAAAGGACCCAATAAAAGGAGTTGTTAAATAATGGTGAAGTCACGTTGTAATAACAATAACTCATCTCTCTCGTTCAGATTAATATTGTCGTTTTTTTTTAGTGTTCTTTTTCTGCTTTGCCAAACGCCACTGTGTCAAGTGTCCTATTAGAGTTGCCTTATGTAGTTGTCAAATATGGCGGACCATCTCGCACATGCGCAGTACAGATCGGGCAGATCGGGTAGTGACAGTAGCCTCATCCCAATACCCCTCCTCGACTCCTCTCTTCCCCTCCTCCGGGACTTGACCCAGAAATCGATCAAGACACGCCATTTTGAAGGACGTCCCAATAGCTGAAATGCACACGGAGGAGTCGAGGAGGGGTGAGGGAGGAGGGGTGAGGGAGTATACACGAGAGCAGACTACGCGGAAGTGTTTTCACTACTTGCGTATAAAAGCCCCGCCCACACCTTCACAGCTGGTCGATTTCAACAGAGGAAAACCGACAACTGGAAGATGAGTGGAAAAGCGTCACATAAATGTATAAGTGCTCACAGCTCCGTGGGAATTATTATGTGCAATTAATTTCTTAAGGTTATAGTAACAATTTAAGTCATGTTTCATGATCTTGATAGCTATTAAGAAAGCTATTTCACAAATGGCTAGATCTTGATAAATAGCAATTATTTGTATTGTTTTGTGTTAAGATATTGAGGAGTTAAATTGTTTAAAATTCACAGTCCTGAATGTGGGTTTGTGTTGAATGGGGGGATCCACAGGACACACATTTTCAGAGTAAAGGCTTTCACATTACTATAATTAGGGTCTGAGACCTGAGGTTGGCGAAGACCGTATTGAAATCGCACAGCGACCGATAAACCTGCCAAAAACACCCAAAACAGGGAAAACTACCGGCAAAAGCACAAAAAAGGTTCGGAAATCATGACGGCTGATAGGCCGCGCGAGCCCAGTCACGTGGGCGGAGCCATGCAAACCATGCAAAACCCACAAAAAACAGGGAAAACGAGGGGCAAAAGCCCATTAAAAGTGGCCTAAGTTATGACAGTAGGTAGCCCACGCGACTAGACCATAGCACATTATTGATATCGGACCGATTATTATTATTATTATCAGGGTCTGAGACCAGAGGTCGGCGAAGACCCTATTGAAATCGGTCGCACAGCGACCGATAAACCTGCGAAACACACCCAAAAACAGGGAAAACGACCGGCAAAAGCACAGAAAAGGTTCGGAAATCATGACGGCTGATAGGCCGCGCGAGCCCAGTCACGTGGGCGCATGCAACTCGCATAATCGATATCGCTACGATCAATTTAGTCGTTGCCATGGCGACAGATCCCTCGCCATGAAACATGGTGTTGTTGTAATTCAATGGAAAATCGTCCAAACGGCACCAAACTTCAGATGATGAAACTTCCCACGTTTGCCAACGGCCGAGTCCTCGAGACACCTAGACACACGTCGACGTGCGGACAACAGCCTGCGGAGCGTCGAAGACCCGCTCAACGCTGCTTGCAGCTTTAATTATCCTTGTGTTTATTTGACGCTCCGCAGGCTGTTGTCCGCACGTCGACGTGTGTCTAGGTGTCTCGNTTGGCTGTATGATCGGATGAGACGACTTACTGAACGCTTTCCTGACCATCTTCAAGGTGTATGCTCCCGGCGTGCGCGCGGCCGGGCCGGCGCCGCGCCGCCGGCCCGCGTCCCGCGCGGCGCGGCGTCCGCCCCGCCCCCAGTACCACCTAATGGGGAGGTAAAACAGCTCACACTCATGCAAGAAAGAAAAAGTGGTCGTCACTAGGGTAACGGACACACGTAGAAGAACCAAGTTAAACGTACTCGTGGGACGACCAAGGGCGAAAGGTTGAACGTCAACTAGCTGTCAAGTATGAAACTTGAACAGGAAAAAGCCTAGGAGAAAACACACAATCGTGTCGGTAAAGTAAAAAAACGGTTGCTTGTACAAATAGGGAGACAACAGAAACAAGCAAGCCTGGCACAACTCCAGACATCCCGCACGCTCTAATTACATTCAAAATTAGAGCTTATTGCTAAAACGATCGTTGCTCCCGGTGTCCAAACGGGCGTCGCCTCTGGGGGGGGGGGGACAACTGTCAAGTGCTCGCACGGCGAGCTGAAGTAGGTGGCTGTAGTGTCAAGTAGTTAATTCCTGCGTTGAAATGCACGTTGCCGGAATGAAGTTCGTCGAGCGTTCCCGTGTTTCTGATATTGTGTACCGGTAGTGTAAGACTTATCGATTTCCTGTTACACGGGCCGAACGGTGCCATGTGGTTGGTCCCCAAAATTCGTTGTGACCGTTTGGTGATCAGCCTGTTCCGCCAAATGCGCCCCGGGTAGAGCCATAGTAAAGGGTGGTTCTAGACGTGTTGTCTCTGACGGAGCGGGATAGGCTATTACCTTCGTGGCTTACAGCACGCCTTCAATTTTTCCTGGCACCGAATCGACCTTATGAAACGTCGAACTTGAAACGTACATGATCTGCATGAAATATGCTGTTGTCGTATATAATTATATTGCTATATTTGACATTCCCAATGTTCTAAAGTCTTTTTTGATTTGCCAAACAGTTATTAGGCCAGGTTTAATGTAATTTATTGTTATTCAGTGAACTAATGTGATATTGATATTTTATATGATCACAATGGACTCTGTAGCCTATTTTCAATTGGTTATTTGGGGAAATGGCTAAACAATTAACTATTTGGCAAAATGGTTATGAATTTTTTTTTTTTTAAATAATTACATTCAATGAACTAATATGATACAAGGATATTTCTATATGGTATTGTTATAACAATTGATTACTGTTACTTTTTAACTCACGAATGTAAAGCCTTTTTCCTATTTGTATCAGATACGCCCTTGTTCTTAGTTTATATGAGATAAAATCTTAGTTCCAAAAAGGCGCATGTGACTTTCTTCCGAATAAAAAAAAGGGGAAATCCTATTGCTTTAAATCAAGGGAGCCCGTGCGATGCTGACTAGATCGGCCTAAAGAAACATGACATTACTGCACCACTCTATAGGCTGAGAACATTAGGAAGTGAATAATAATAATAATTATTAAAGCTGCAAGCAGCGTTGAGCGGGTCTTCGACGCTCTGCAGGCTGTTGTCCGCACGTCGACGTGTGTGTCTAGGTGTCTCGAGGACTCGGCCGTTGGCAAACGTGGGAAGTTTCAGGCCGATCGGACAA